TATGTCAACTCAGGGCTGTCATAGGCACCTATCTCTTAAGCAGTTATCACTTTGGATAAATAATTGTTTTTCATAGAATCTGAACTTTAGAAATATGCAAAATATGGAGGACACCCTCACTTTTGAAAGACTGAGGAAAATATAGGGATTTTTGCAGCTTCTGTAGTTCTGTACATGAATAGACACTCTGGTATAGGCTGGCATGAAGAAAGCCACCCAAGTCCCAGTGGACAACTGGAGTGGAAGTTACTAAATCTAAGAAAGTGGTAATAAACTCCTTACTGACATAATGAATTAGGATATAAGCATCCTTGTCCTCCCTCTCAGCTGTGTGTCATATCCAGTTTCCACATTCTGAAAACTCAAATGAATTTTTCTGGTAACAGTAAGACCCATGGTTTTCTTCTGAGTGATTTCTCGCTGCATTGTGCTTTTCCTGTCCATTGTGAGGCAACATTCATGCTTTTTAAAATTCCAGTCTTTTTCTTCAGTCTCCAGTTGCTGGGCATCTCCTTTCCCACCATCTGACATAATAGGTGTGGCATTTCCTTTTTTTTTTTTCCCCAAGAGGCAGCCTTAGCTTCTCCAGTTTTCTTTCAAGAAGCGTAACACACCATGCCCTGCCCCACAGCCCCTGCTAGATGTGCTGGAGGGCTCCCTTGAGCTTAATGCCTTGGCCTCTGTGATGAGAGCAGGTTTTAATACATGGAGTGTAAATATTATTTACAGGGAATAAACATCTTCACGTTTTCCCCTCTTTAGATGGATAGCAGTGAGACACACGCATTTCATTAAGCAAAAATGATCATCTGTTTTCCTAAGCAGCAATCTTCATTCTCGCTTAATAATCGGCCTTTAAGTGAACTAAGAGTGTTTTAATTAAAGGATGCAAACAAATGGTCTGACTTTGAGAGTTGCTGAGCACCTGGTATTACAAACTGCAGATGTCTGTCCCTGCTCCCCTGACCCTCATTAAGGGCACACCACAGCACATGATGGCTGTGCAGAGTCAACTCTCACCTCTCTAGACATCATGATGTAAATAATAACATCATAACCCCTGTCATCTAACTGAAGTTACCCTGGCATCTGCACAGTTTATCCCAAATGAGGAGGTATTTATGGTAAAGTAGAAAAGGCAAGAACTGTGAGGGATCAGGCTCTAGGTCATCCTTGGACTCAGCAACAGCTACAAAAGATGGCTCTGATGAAAAAAAAATAAAACACTGTTCAGCCAGCTGCTTTTCATCTTTCCTGTCCATGAAGCCACTGAGACCCCTCACACTGCTCTGAGGGGAGTTTGTCCTAGGGCTGAGTCTGCCCCAAATCTCTGTGTCACACTGATTCAGTCTCCCTTCACCCCACATGAGCTAGTCAGGACACATACAACAGACAGAAATGCGCTGAAAGGAAAGCAAAAGCATAGAGGAATTTAAAAGCAAGGGGAAATGGTCAGCTAAGAGCATAGCAGTAAAAATCAAGAAAGGATGTGCATCCCTGCAATGCTGAGTTATCACCCTAATAAATGCCACTGCCAAGGAGGAGCTTCTTGCACAAGACAGTGTGGCCCCAGAGACCAAACAGCCACTTTTATGCTTGCCTTTCATAAACCCGGTGGGAGGAAATTTTTCTGACAGCAGTATCTGCCACATTAATTTCTTGCATCAGTTCGAGCTGTTTTATCTTCTGTTTGGTGTCTTTGGTTATATCCACACAAATGTGTTCAGGGCCTCTTCTCCACTCCCTAGGAAGCAAATGCATCCAGGGGACATCTGATGGTGTCACAACTGTAAAAACCTCACTAAAACTTTCCTTTGTCCCTCTGTCACAGCTGGTATCAGCAGAGGTAGGGAGGTAATATGAGAGGTAAGGAGGAAGAACAGGAGGGAAAAAACTCCAATCTGATTAACCTCCAGACCTGCAGACCTACAGTTACCACCCAAGAAGAGAGCAAAGGTGTCTGCAAGCAAACTTCAGCAACCTGATCCACCTAAGTGAATAGGAAAGGCTGGAGAAGCAGGAAACAACTAAAGCTTCTTAACATTCCTGGAAAGAAACATCCCAGAAAGGAAAAGAGCCTGCAAAAGGATGCCATAGAAAAAATACAAATTATCCACCTGATTTATTGCACAAGGGGAATTTAAATGTGATGGAAACCCCCAAAAGTTTTTGATGAATCAAGCCTACACTGTCAGGAAGGGAGGAGAGTTTACAAATGATGGTGGCTTACAAAGAAGCTCTAGTCCATCTTTCACTACATAACCATGAGAGGCAGAGTTTGAGAAAGAGGAAAGCAACCTGGACTTTACAGCTGGATACTGGAATTTCAAATAAGGTGTTAAACTGAGGATTTCCTGCCCTGCTCTTCTCCAACACCAGCTTTACACACCAGCTCAGAGACCAGCCACCATATAATTTTAAAATTTTCCTTTTATTTACCATTCAAACAATCCACTATTACCATTTTAGTATCATAATGTCTTAGAGACTGAGTCCAGGATCAAGACTTGAATGCAGCGAGTGTCGTGCAAATTCAGGGCAAAAAGACTGCCTCAAAAAATTGAGATTTAATTACATAGGATGTGTGGACTTTCCCAAATAAACCCTGAATGCAGCCGTTTCCAGTTGAATTACCCATTTCTGTTTGGTTTTTTGGGGTTTTTTTGGTTTGTTTTTTTTTTAATTTAATGCAGGGGATTAACTTTATCTAAACTAATACAAATATCACTTAAGCTAAGAAAAACTTTCCCACCACTTCTTAACTTTCAGTTTGACACATTTATTTTTGAAAGAAGTTTAAAATAATCAAGAAATAGTTTTCCATAATCCTCATGGCTACGTGTGCTGCAGAATGCCTTGCTGGAGTGTTGTAGTAGATACCAAAAGCAAAATGTGTTCAAACACCACCTGTTGACACTCCTTTAAAAAAGATCCCTCAAGATACAAAGGCACAAGCAGTGTTTCAAACCTGCATTGCCTAAGCTTCAGGCAGATAAGAGGGTGTTCCAGGACAAGGATCTCCCTCTACTTGCCCAGCTCTTGTACTCTTTTCCTATGTACCCACCGCCAGCCCTCCTCAGAGAGAAAACAAGAGACTCAGAAAGAATTTCTGCCTGCCCCAGCATGACCATTCCTGTGTGAAAGACAATGACAAAAAAATATTGGCTCAGAAAAATAAGCTTTAAATTGCTACCTGATATGATCAAAACAGAAAAGCCCCTTGCTACCATCAAATCTGTTTCTGTGAGGCACAGCAGCTGAACAAGATGTCACTACACTGAGCAGGGCACATTCTGAGGATGAGCCACAGTTTGAAACCAAAACAGCACACAAAATAACAACGAGCAAACTCTTAGCAAGCACCACAGGACGCAAGAGGTCCTAAAGAGATATTTGAAGGAGATGGAGAGACTATTTGCTCTCACTGTGGCATGCAATGCCCTTGCATACTGTTTTGGGAATTACTAGAGTTTCTGCCACCATCAATGTCACTCAGGCAGTTTTCCCTAGGAGAAATGTATTTTAAAGGCTTACAGACACAACAAAAAAAACCAAAAAACCAAAAACACTAAATTGTCAGTTCTAGAGAGGCACTCTCACTTTCCTGCTGGACTGAGTGTAATGGCATCAATCTAACACCAGATGCAGACTACAGTGCAGAGATTAATCATAAACAGTTGAATCTTACTGGTCAGCAGCAATGGACAGAGCAGGAACGTTTTGCTATTATTTCTGCCATTTCTAAGGTCACTTGTGGTATAATACATTAATTCAAACAGTAGCCAGTGATGCATGTAGTTGAGAGAGGAGACTGTATTCTCTAGTGCCAAAACCTGCAAAAGGAAAAACAGTGTTTAGCTCATACAAACCTGCAACTTAAAAAGCCTGCAGAACACAGGTCCTAAGCAGCAAGTTCAGCACCTGGCAGGCACCAAATGACCCAGGGAAACTGCATCCAATTAGCCTGATGAAGTTACAACGTGGCTGTGTGGTGCAGGTAGTTTATAGAACTTTTGTCTTTAAAGACTTTGTTTTTCTTAATAAACAACGCTAGAAATTACCTTTTAGTACTTTCAACTCTTTTGTGGAATAAATATTTGCAATGGGATGTAGGGACTGGTTTCACTGAAACTCATTTTGGGTTTGCTTCAGAAATAAAAAACTCATATAAATAGAAGTCCAAGCAAACAATAAATATCATGAGCTAAAGGCAAGGACACTGAGCAGCACTCTGGATTACTTGGCACCGGGGTAAAATGTGCCCCATGGAAGGGAGCTGTGAACAGCATGCAAAGGGGAGCTCAAAGCACTGCCTGCAAACAGGTTGTGCGTGTGGCACTCAGCCCCCTCCGATGGAGCGCTGGAAACATTCGCTGAGAGCTGTGTAGTGTCTGGGTCCCAGCGCTGGGCGCCGAGGAGAGGGGCAGAGAAGGCACCGAGAGGGTGTGCACCAGTGGGTGCTGGAGAGCTGGGGCTCAGCCCAGGGACAGCAGGTCACAGCTCCCAGCCGTGCCTGAGCTCCTGGGCAAGCTGTCACCCACTTCAGGTTCTGCTGGTGCAAACATACAACTCTGACAGCTGCGCTGTTTCCCTGCAGAAGAGCCGAGCACACGCTCGTCCACCTCTGCACCACTTCACAAGCACCCTGGCACCCCTTCCTCACAGCCCGGTCGTAACATATCGGAGCAGGGGAACAGCCTCACCCACCAGCGCGCACTTGCGAAGATCCCAGATCCCACACAAGCCGGGTGCTTGAAACAGACCTCCCCCTCCATCCCTGCTCCAGGCAGCACCCTTTCCGCCCAAATAGGATACACCAGCGTATCCTATTATTATATTATTATTATTACAGGTATCTAATTTAGGATACCCCCCACTCCGGAGGACTCGTGTGGCCCCTCCCAGCCCTGGAGCCGCGGAGGCGGCACAAGCGCAGGGTCAGCATCGCACCGGGGATGCAGGTGGGCGCATCCCGGGAGCGGCGGGCATCCTGCCGGGCATCACTCCCGGCATCACTCCGGGCATCCCGCCGGGCCACCCCCAGCACCATCCGCCCCCTGCCCGCGGCTCCCGGGGCAGGGAGCGCTCGGGGCGGCGCCGGAGAATTCCCTGCCGCTTCCCGCCCCTCCCCGCCCTCCCCTCCTCTTTTTATTTTTGGCGGGGGGCAGCGCCGTCTGAGGAAGGGAAACGCTTCGCTCTCCGCGCTCCGGGACCGGCGCCTGCCGCGGTGCGGATGCGTATGGACGAATCCTCGTGAAAACAGCTCCGACGTTTCCCCCCCCCCCAAAAAAAAACCCCAAACCCAAACAAACCACCCACTTGGATAATTAAAACGGTAAATCTAGCTAACTTTTCATTATCTTGCTTGCTGAGTGTTTATATATGTAGATATTTGTTATTTATCTGGCTTCATTTCTTCCATTTCTTCATCTTTTGGTTTTTGTTAATTATCTGATCTTGTGCTGCTGGAGAACTTTAAATATTGGGGTTCAGAACAGAGGAGGACTCTGTTTCTGCTTTTTCTTAAAGTTGGACTGAGGAATAAAAACGTTCCTCGTTCATACCAGCCTTGGGAATATGTTTACTTGCTTTAACAACCTGAACATAGATGAGATTTCCTGTAGCAGCATCCTCTTTAGTTGGCTTTGCCTTTAATTTTTGCCAATAATACAGCAAAGATGTGTGTATGCTACACACATGCAGTCCTGTGGGCTGATAGATTTTGTATGCTGGCATTCACAGCTGAGATTTTGACTAGACTTTGAATGTCTCTAGTTTGTGATGTTAACAAGTGAACTGTCTTCTGTTTTCATCATAATTCAACTTGTGGATTCTGCCAAGAGATCATTTAAACCAAATGAAGTAGTGTTTCTTAGCCCTATAATTATTTACTTGCCTTTTCAGAGATCGAAGCATGCTCTCGTTTGTACAGGTCACACAATTTGTGCAGCTTCATAATCCAGAGGGCTTTTGTTTGAGAGGATATTCATTTTATACAGTCCCTGTAGTGGTTGGATGCTTTATTAGACTGGGCAACCCCAGGCTTTCTGCATATTATGAAAACCAACTTTAGGAAATTAAATGTCTCTGTTAGGTATTATGATTCCACAGATATTTATGCTTGCTACGATAAACTATTCTTCTTTTTGGACTATTAATCCAGCAGATATTTACCTGAGGAAAATTAAAATTGAGAGGCTAGTTTAAAAAAAATCCATGTATACATGGAGAAAAGACTGTCTTACTCTCATCAAACAAGAGAAACTGAGAGCATCAGTTTCATTGTAAATAAAAATTACTGACCTGAACTTTACTTTGCTGTAAAACACCATCTAAACTTCCAAGTCTGACTTGGGAAAAACTTAGCTCAGGGTAGACTTTGTTGCTCTTTATTGACTTTGTTTCTTTCCTTTCTGAGAAGTCAATTGCATATTAATCTATGCATGAGCATATTCACCTGCACAGGCACACACCTGGTACTGTCCAAGTGCAGGACTTGTGAGTTGAGGTTTTGATCCACAGAGGATTACAAACAATGCAGGGGAAAGGAAAAAGTAAGGAGGGATTTACAATATTTGCTGTTGGGCACAAATGTTAGGGACCTTGCCTTGGAAATGAGTCTCAGTAGTCAAAGAAGAGAGGCAGGACCCCACGTGCACTTGGCACAGCTTCTGCTCTGAACTGCTGCCTGCTGTGATTACATCTGTATTTAAATTAATCTTTGAGAAACTTATGTTCATCCATCATTTATTGTGTTAGTGTTAAAAATGGGATAAAACATGCATTTGCTGGTTAATTTGGTCTGCTGAACTCTTAAGATCTGTTGACCCAAGAGATTTTGCTTAGGGGCTGAAAAAAAATATTTTTGTTCATGATCATACAAACTGCTGTGTGCTGATGCTGCACACTTCACTTCTTGCAGTGTTGCATGAAACAGGAATATGGAATTAGGAGTCATCTTTTCTCCTGCACACAGGACTTCAAGGGGTTAAGTGACTGGTCAGCAGCACTGCTCAGAGCATTAGTAACTCCAAGGATTATTGCTTTTTGAACACTTGGAAAAGTACAGGTTGTTTTAATGTACTGTAAGTAAACTGCTCTTGGTACCCCAGCCTCGTCACAGTTACCATTCACATCTTCTCTCTTTGGTGGAATTCCTGCAAAGTTCAGATTTCCACCAATCCTGTCATAAATAGCTGGGAGTTTCTTCTTTTTGATTGTGGAGACTGAGGTACCTGGAACGTTAAAGGAGAGAAAAAGGAAATCAGCTTCAAGCCATTGTGAAAAGTTAATACAATATCTAAAATAGGATTTCTGACTTACTTAAAAGTCTGCTGTTTTAATAGGAGAGTAATCAAACCTTTGTTGGTTTGGAGTTTTATTGTAATTATTATTATTATTACCAGTAGTTTTGGACTCTACAGCTGTCACTGCCCCCAGTGAAACCTGCAAATAAGCAAATTTCCTTGCATGCTTCCTCCTCCCTCCTTCCCTGAGAGCTCCAAATTGCCTGTTTTTCACCCAGGCAGCAAATGAAAGGGCTGACAGAATTCAGTCAGGCAGGAGGCACCCACTGCGTGCAGAATCTGACTCCTCAGTACTGAGATCCCTCTTGAGCTGGGGTTACAGGTCATCTCTCAGGTGTTCATGTCATTTTGTTCTAATTCCACATCTGAGGGTGACATACCACTGTTCTAGTGCTTGAGAGGGCACAAGTGATTAAAATTCAAATATTTTTAATGACTTACTGATGCACAGCTATTAAAAGCGACAACTGAATTTATTTGATCTGAAAGAGTAACACCTTTTTGCCCCAATTTTCTCTAAGGTATTTACTGGGAAAAAGCCTTATATACTGTCAGATTCACTGTTTGGCCCTACTATTAACCCTTCACCCAGAAATGGGGTAAAAAAGGCACAGCTTCAAAATGCATAAAAAACTAACTTTAAGACAGCTTTAGCAGTTGAAATCAGTTTTTATACCTTTGTCTTTTAAATGACTAATCTCTATCTGTGGGTGTCCATTTAACCTGTGATATAACTTTAGAAACTGCTGGAGGCAATTTGTGCTATAGGATCTGAAGTGATTAACATTGGGTACACATATACATAAAGCATTTCAGTATTTGATGGGTTGCATCTCTTGGCTTTGGATGCCTTTCTCTTTTTTTTTAATGTCACATTCTCATCTGCAGGGTAATTTATGAGCACAAGAAAAGGTTACAGACTCCCTAATTCAAGCTTCAACTGTTATGGCATTTTTATACAAATGCTCATTTTCTTTGTCATACCATTTAGCAAAAAGGATCAATGTGATCCATTATCCTGAAACTACTGTGTGAAAAAAAAGTGGTTCTATCAAAAATGTGTCCCCTGGTTGTATTTTTTTTTTTTTGTAAACCGATTATATATGTCAAACATAATGTTGCCTTCTGCTATTACATTATGTTTCCAAATGTAATAAAGTTGGGGAAGTTTCAATGCATGAAAAAAACAAAGTATTTTTTCCATGGGCATTTGTTATCCATGGCTGGAGATTTGCTCCTGGCAGAGGAACAAGTCCTTCTGCCTATACAATTCACATTTTAATTAAAACCAGGGCACATTTTAGAAAATATTGGGAATGTATATTATATATGTTGAATTTAAAGTGTTATTTTCTTGATGATTCATGTTATAAATTAATGCTGCAGCAAGAGAATGGAATTGGAGGTCATTTCCTCCACATGCTCTTTAGGTCCTCAGTTCTGCAGTTACTGGAGGAAGAAAAGCACATGGGAGTACAGTGAAATATACAGACCTAGACATCCTAAGAATTGACTAAACATTTTCAAGTTTGCCTTGCCTGCAGTAGGAGTGTGTCACATGGTAATTTGGGAAGCTTGCTTGAAAATGGAAGAGTTATGAAACTGGGTTTGCCTCCTACAGGTGCTCATCCCTGTGTGTGCATTTGCAGGTTTGCCATAGGGGAGAGGTCAAAAGCCCAAAATTAAAAGCAGGATGGCTAATTTTAAACAGCCTTGTTCTGCCATGAAGCATCAGCTGCTCAGCACTACAAGTCCAACTTAAGGACTCCCACATCACTGGCTCCTCTGCAAAATGGGAGGATTGGAAAAGCTCTATCAGTATATGAGAAAACTAGCCTTGTTGACTATGTTTAAGTCATTGTTTAAGTATTGTTTCTTCTTGTCAAAATGCAACATGAACTTTGAAAATGTTGAGTGGCAAGCACCCCCCAAATTTGAGACAAGGCTTATCAAAGTGAAAAAATGCCTGCCTAAGTTTGGGGTTTTTTTCTTATTTGTTCCTAGAATCTTGTGCCTAATTCATTGCATTTTGTAAGAAACCATTACTCCACTATGTTAAATGGCACTGTTACCTTTTCAGGCTTTGACTGAACTGGTTTTGTGTTGATTGTGGAAAACAGAATAGTTTGATGGTGAAAACATCCAAAAAGAATCAGCCAGTCAGCTGGCTCATGCACAAACACAGCAGTTATGCCCTAAGTGCCTAACTGCTAAAAAGTCATTCTCTGCCACAGGGAATACTGGATTGCAGAGTGACAATCCTGCTATTGAGCTGTCTGTGAGGTGCAAAGAGGGGCCAAGGTGATTTAGGTGCCTGCTTGCATAAATAAGTAGGTGTCTGTGCTTACATATGTACACAAACACACAGAACAGTTCCATGGAGGCCAATACAAAACCCATATGAATGAAGAAAGTTGTGGTGATATGTGAAGCAACATTGAGGCCTGCTGGAGTAATAGGAAAGGAAAGCAGAAATTAAAACTAGGAATCACAGAAATGTCTGATCCAGTACATAGATTTTTGACATGAGTGAGGATCACAGAAATGTCTGATCCAGTACATAGAGTGAGAAGGGTTGGAACTGGCTACCTCACCCAGAAATGCTTATGCAGTAATGAGAGGGGATTATATTTTGATGGAATTCTGCCAAAGGGTACTTTGTACCTATTGAAGTGTGGTTTCATTTGGCAGCTTCTCCTGACTTGAGGAGAACTTCCAAACTCTGCTGCTGTAAGTCACAGTCAAAAATATGATGATGTTAGAACACTTTGACCTTCAAAATAGAATTTGAGAGTATTAAATTACTGTACCTGTAACATAGTCATGTCTGCAATAACAATTACAGGCAAAACGACAAAAGTCAGCATCCCCTTCCCCCTTTATCACAGCAGTGGAAATAAAAGTTCATTTTAGTCAAGTTATATTCCTTTTCCTTTCTTCCTAGAACTGTCTGTAGTTGTTTTAAGCAGCAGCTGAGTGAGCAGAGCAGGACAGTTGGCTTGGGTCTTCTCATGGACTGGAATACCAAATGTTCCTGCTTATTGTTCCTTCGCTCTGACAGGGGACACACCGTTCAGTGAATCACTCTTATGGCCAGCAGCAGAACATGACTTCAGCATCACCTTGCATCTTCTGTCCTCCCAGTCCTGCTGTTTTTCTTGCCTCACAGCAATTAGGTGTCAGGCAGCCCATCCGTCCTCATCCTCCGCTGTTTGAGTTTCCTGGGTTTTGACTTGCTGGAGTGCTGCTGATTGCACTCACGTGGAAGCACTGCCCTGCCTGGAAAACGTCCTGTGTGGGCAGCAATAATCCTCTGGGCTGTTGTTTCTGCCTGAATCCAGACCCCACTGTGCATGACACTTACTGGAGGATGGCTGTAATACATCAAAACAAGCATTTTCTAGTTTTAAGTGCAGATGATTTATTTGTATTATAACCACATTAGCTAGTCTCTAGATGGCCATAATTTGGGCCATAATTGGATCTCTCACTGTATCAGAGTGATTCTTCCTCTAGGAGGAAAGAAACACATTCTTTTTTTTCTTCTTTTTTTTTTTTATCTAGTACTGTTGATTTGATAGCATTAAACCCATCCCGTTTATTTGTATTAAGCCTAAGATTATCTCTAAATTTAATAGGTAGAGTGGGGTGAAGTAGCTATCAATATTAATTTTCTTATCCTTAGCCTTGTGCTAGATTATAAAAAATCAGCCTGGCTTGGAGAAACCACTGCAGTAGGCAGTGGTGGAGCCCACGGAGTACAAGTTTGTCACCTCACTGCGATGACTGTGCCTCACTGAATCACTGATGAGAAGGGGGTGCTCTGAAACCAGCAGAGACAACTGAATCAGGGAGGTCTGTGATCAAAATATCATCCCTGAGAGAGATTTTAGGCCATGGTTTATTGGTAACTCAATCACTGAAGGATGTAGGATAACTTGGACCTCATCAGTATTACTCAAGAGATGCAGCCAAGTCAGTTATCATAGTATCTTCCTCTAATTAGTGTTATAATAAATCCTGTTAAATACAGCACAAGCTTTTAACAGTGCCACAGACACAAAGCAATAAATGTGTGTTGGGTGAAAATACTGGGAGTATGTACCATTGTCTGGAAAGCTTTTATCAAAAATAGCTCATTATAATAACTATTGTCAAGTTATAAACCTTACACCACTTGTGATTGTTCAGGAGACTCTCCTGGGTACCCTGAAGTGTTTTAATTAATAGTTTAATAAAAATTAGTGTTTAATTATTCATTAACAGCTGAGCTGAGGGAATAACCTCTAAAGTTGGTAAGTGTGCAGGTGATGAAAGGTTGGGGAGGAACGCAAATGGATGGAAAAACTGAGTTAGAATTAAAGACTGTCTTAAAAAATGCAGCTGAATAGAACCAATATCAGGGATGCTCTTGGGCAGGAACAATCAAGAGTGCCAATTTAACAGGGGAAATGACAGGCTGGGCAGAGATGACACCCAGCAATATCAGAGAGCTGATTCATGTCCTGATGATGTCACTGGTGAATCCTTTTAGAAAAACTGCTACATGGCTAACCACATCCTGAACCTGGGCACTTGGGGAGCAGGGAGGGCAGGGCTGCTCTGCAAGGGGGACACGGGCTGGGAGCCCAGGTGACCCCGGCACAGGCACTCCTCACAGAGGGGACACAGCCAAACACAGACAGACAGAGCCAGGTACCCATAATGGGGCCAGTGACAACCCCAGATCAGTGAGGGAATGAACCAGGGGCCACCCAAGGGAGCAGCCAGGAGCAAAAAATGACAGACATTATTTAGTGACACAGAAAAAAATTTGAATGTACCAGAGAAAACAAGAAAATAATACAATTACCCTCTTAAGAAAAGAGGAAAGTCAAACTTTAGAAGTCTAATAGCATTTTGGTCTCTGTAAAATATGCATTTAAGGCTGTTGATTTCTTTCCTAGGGAAATGACTTCCATTCTGTCCTAACACTTGCATCTACATAAACAATATTCTGTATTGGGCTTACCCAACATAATGGCATCATTACCATCTCTTCCACACAAAGAATTTTTACATTAGGGTCATAAATCAAGCTCCTTCTCACTCTGCCTTTTACTGAAGGCTTTTAATTTTTTTCTTCCATTCTAGTCTTACACTTCTCAAAGACTGTACTGCAGGTCTCGTTATGAAATTACCTGAAGACTGACAGTTGCCAGTGGCAAAAGGGGCCCCTGCTGTTTTGTAAAAGGCAAAATGTGTTTCTTTTCATCTAGACCAAAGCCTTGCGTGATTATGTGGTTTTGGCTTTTTTTTTTTTAATTAATATTTTAGGATGTTTACATCTAGAATAAACAACCATTTACTATTAATAATAAGGATCTGTGTCTACACTGCCACTTCTCTGATTTGCTGTTAAGTCCCTATCTCCTGATCATCAAAGCTGTATCAGCGTGGGTTTGTTTGGACCCTGTTATGCAGAAAACCAATGAGTTCCTTTCAAGACAAAAGCCAGATGTGGATTTAGAGGTGATTTGCTGAGGAGACCATTTCAAATAAGCACAATAGCCAGGACCAAATCCAGACTGGGATCTTTCTGTGCTGCACAGTGTTTTCCAGCACACTTCCAGCAGATCTTCTGCTCTCAAGGGCTCACAAACCTTCGTGCTATGTCCAAGGATGTGCAATTTATCCCCCTTTTGATATTAGGCTATCAAACTACCAATCCACTGATTGAGCCCTCATGTCAATTTAGGCCTTTTGAACCATAAAAATCTCTAAAGAACAGTGATGGTGTCTTTCAGATACGTGGCCCTGTGTTACAGGCCACACAGTGTGGGCACAGCTGTTTGTTCACACTGCTCTAGATGGAGTTAACAAGAATATTGTGGGCACCAGCCCCACTTCAGCTAGGGAGCAGGGAACTCTCAGCAAGACAGACATCATTTTCTGTTTGTTTCAGAGATTTGTGACTCAGGATTAAGTTTTTCTGTTTGCATTTCAGATTTTGTCAATGGCCTAGAGACACCCTAAGATTTCTCCTTGAGAAAAGCAGATCAGGCTCTCCTCAGCCCAGGGCAAGGCAGTTACCACTTGACAGATAACAAAATAAAACAGCAAGATGAGCAGACAAGGATGCATCCATTAGTTTTTGGCACAAAAGTCAGTGGTGCTTTGAACTCTCTGTAAAGACAAATCTGACCTACTAAATACCTGTATTTGGATCCTGTGGCATTCACATTCCCTAAAAAAATCCCTTTGCCTAGGATTCTTCTCCTGGGAAGCTGAGAAGCCTCAGAGAAAAAGAAAACAATTATTATCTCATTTGCTTCTCCTGTGTTGTGCTCCTGTTAGAATGTGTTTGGAGATTGTTTACCCACAGGTGGTTGTTTCATTAGATTCTGGTGTGAGTTGTTTTGACTCTTTGACCAGTGAGTGCCAAGCTGTGTCGGGACTCTGGAAAAAGAGTTTTCATTATTATTTTTTGAGCATTAAGTAAGTATCTTTTCTATATTCTTTAGTATAGTTTATTGTAGTATAGTATTCTTTAATATAATAGTATTATAAAGTAATAAGTTAACCTTCTGAAAACATAGAATCAGATTCATCATTCCTCCCTGCCATGAGAGCGCCTGCAAATACAATAGGATCCAGCTGCCAAAGAAAGACAGGTAAAGAGGGCATTAAGTGTGAAGCCTGCTCGTCACCATCTGTAGTGGCAGCCAGCACCTGTGAGTGTTTGACCATCGAGATCCCTTTGTAACAACAAAAAATAGGAGCCTTACAAATGCTGTCACTTTTCCAGAACATGATTTGCTCTTTGGTGAGGCAGTTACACAGCCCCTTGTGAACAACAGCCTGGGCTCTGTGTGTATGTGGTGTTGGGACACAATGTGCTGTTCACACTGGAATTCCAAATCCACTGTAGTCACCCAAAAGCCAGGAGTGTCATCTGCACTTAGATATGTGATCTTTAATCAGAGGCAACAGCACTGGGTATATATCTTGTTTTTAAGATGACCTATGAAGCTGTCAGCTGTAGCTGCTTGACCTATAACAGATAATGCCATCAGGAGGAACAAGCACTAAAATGAAAAATAGCTTTCCTTGCTTTGCCTAACATTCGTCTGACACTCCTAAAGGCCGGAGCTGGACAGCACAACTGCACACAGAGTGCAAGTTCACTGTGAAGGTGCACCTTAATCACCTCTTTCTAGTGGGCTTATGTTTCTTCTCGCAATTCTCAGGTAACAAGTCAAGTCTGCTGCTCATTGGTCCTATCCTTGACCTTGTGCTGAAATAATTTATTGTCTCCCCTGGTAGTTTGTTAGACTAATGGCACTCATTTCTTGTTATGTACAACGACATATAAGAAATAAGCAAACCCCATTTGGTCATTTCAGTCATTTCAATCTACAAAACCTCCAAAACAGAACAAAGAAAAGAGGTGCTTAGATGCACTGAAACTTCCTCTGGTTTTTAGTATTAACAAGCTGAATTCAAAAAACGTACCAGAAAAGTGTGAAAAGTATTATTTAGGAAAACCAGGCATTAGATTTACAGTGAGATTCTTTGGGATTTTTTAGATATTATCTTTCAGAAGCAGATGCTGCCTCAATGGCACACATCACTGGTTACATGAAAGATTTCTGTTGAAAGCATGACATCTAATTTCAGAAAAACACTCATTAATTTCTGCCTTCAAAAGTCTGTAAAGTGTGTCAATCACTAATAACAATTAACAAAACATCTCAGTGTAGCAACAATTTAATCTCTAAAAAAGAAGAGAGGATAAAAACATGTCTTGGACATTTGAAGATTTATATGGTTAAACTAGAGAGTTTTTGTCAACACATTCTGCCTTCAGCTTCAAAATGTTTCTTGTCTTGTGCTCTGAAGAGCTTCAAATTTTGTATTGTCTTATGTTGTGAAGAACTAAAGAACCACTGTTACTGATAGAGGAAATAAGAATTTTAGTGGACCATATATCCACCAAAATAATGGCATTTCAAGAAGTAAAATTTTTTGTAGATACGCTCAAAATTTTTTTGCCAGAACAAACCTTAACTAAACATTGTTGAACACAGCTTTAGGGGGTTTTTTAACAATCCTGGTACAGCAGCAAAGGAAGAGAGTTGTAACAGGATGGCAGTATTTCTATTTCCCTAATAGTTCAGTAACTGGAAAGCACAGTCCAGACATAACTTCTTGCTTTTGGGGATTTTTCATCTTGCAACAGTTTTAACCTCACCAAAAACCACTGTCACAGTCTCCTGCTCCTTCTGTTCATTACAGGCTGTTCTCAAACAGGCTTGGAGCCACAGAGCAGCAGCAAGAAGAGCTCTCTAACCAGCTTTTAGTGCAGTCCTGAGGACAGAGATGCTCTGGTTCA